AATGTACCACGTGCGTAAACTGCCCGAGTGACGTATTGTCACATAACACGTATATCAGTAGGCATCAATCACTGGGGATATGGACATACCGATACATCGAGCTAAACTATTGACAATACCGATACATCGAGCTAAACTATTGACAAGGGTCAGTTTTTCAATGGTGAGTAAGTGAGATTAGTTTTACGTCGCACTCGGCAATATTCCAGCTATATGGCGGCGGTCTGTAAATAACCTAGTCTGGACCAGTCAATCCAGTGATCAACAGCATGAGCATCAATCTACACAATTGGGATACGATGACATGTGTCAACTATATCAGCGAGCCTGACCACTAGATCCCGTTAGTCGCCTCTTACAAGCATGGGTTACTGGAGACCAAATCTAACCCGGATCTTCACGGGTCAGTTTTTCAATAGGGGTGGTCATGTGTACAACTGGTAATCTGGTAGTGGACTGTTTGTCGACTGTTGTCAATGGTCAATATGTGTTGAAATTGACCCTCGGACCATATGTGAACATTAGACCATGTTGCGCAAAGGACTGAGGTTACTTTTTCAAAGGGACCCTTTGTCATCTAAAACTGTATGGTTGCACCACAGGTGCATTTGCCATATACATGTAGTTGATAAATATTCACCTATTCACAAAATATTTTGATTTTAAACACGCTCATAGCTAACTGCTATTTTTTAAGATCGCTGTGAAAATATGTCAGATGTTGTGTTTTCCAAAATCCATGCTATCAAGATTAAAAACATCTGTTTGGCACGATTCGTCCAAAATGGTGTTATGGTTCTTTATCAAGTACATCTGGCCACCTGTCCACCACCTACACAACATTACACAATATGAGGGCTGTGGAACCACTGAGCCTCATGATGTACACTAAACACCAAAAGAAACGTTACTCTCCTTTCTAAATGACGGAGGTACCTAAAGCATGGGAATAATTATTTCACAATTTTACACACCCTACAACAGTTGTTTCTGGTTTTAATGGTTGAAAAATTGTGACTTTAAATGGTTTAACATTGTCCCAAAGCAGAATTTTATTTCAACCTTTCTTTTCGGCATCAAAATCACTGTTATTCGTTTATTTCGGCATGGACGAATATAGGACAATTTAACTCTTCTGAAAAAGATGCATTTCACCTAAATATGAATGCATTTGAGAATTTTTTTCGTAATTTGCATAAAGCTTTGTTGTTAAGCTTTCTTGTAAACTAATACCTTCTAACATATCTTTGATAGTTTTTCAGCAATTCATAAACATAGGAGGGTAACGTTTCTTTTAGCGTGTAGTGTGGTTCTGTCAGGGTTCTCCAGGAGAGAGTTCATTCCATTAGAAGCGCTAAAATGTGTATTAGTGCTAAAGTCAGTTTTATTATTTATCATCGACTAAATCATAATTACAGTTATGGATATGGTAATGTCCTAGAAGGTGTCACCTGCATAGGTGCCCGACTCTGATATATTTATAAGTATGACCTATATGTATATATATCTTATACATATAGGTCATACTTATAAATATATCAGAGTCGGGCGCCTATGGTCACCTGCTATCAACTAGGGTAACCAGATCTTCGAGCTTCTGTAATCCACAAAACCTCCCGGTCTGTTCTATGTCACCTCTGGCTCAGTTCATAATGACTGACTAATTTATACACAGGCCATAAAGTAGATCTGGAAGTTGAACTTATTGCCTGGTCGGCTGTCTGTCACCTGTCACAGCCTCGTCTAAATGTTGTGAGTGGTTCTGCTCATACACCTCGTCACTGCGACAGCCACCAACAGTTACTGTTATAGTACATGACCATGGGGTTTTAGCACGCCTAGCTGACATCAACTCCACACAGTGAAATACTGCGTCACCCCTGCCTGCACGTCAACTGTCAAATATAATAGAAATAAGATATGTGCAAATCCACACCAGAGACGTTTCAGGCATCCATACAAATACACTCCACATGGTTGGTGGTAAACCCAGGTTCCAGGCATCCATACACTCCACATGGTTGGTGGTAAACCCAGGTTCCAGGCATCCATACACTCCACATGGTTGGTGGTAAACCCAGGTTCCAGGCATCCATACACTTCACATGGTTGGTGGTAAACCCAGGTTCCAGGCATCCATACAGTCTACATGGTTGGTGGTAAACCCAGGTTCCAGGCATCCATACAACCCATGGTTGGTGGTAAACCCAGGTTCCAGGCATCCATACACTCCACATGGTTGGTGGTAAACCCAGGTTCCAGGCATCCATACACTCTACATGGTTGGTGGTAAACCCAGGTTCCAGGCATCCATACACTCCACATGGTTGGTGGTAAACCCAGGTTCCAGGCATCCATACAATCTACATGGTTGGTGGTAAACCCAGGTTCCAGGCATCCATCCACTTTACATGGTTGGTGGTAAACCCAGGTTCCAGGCATCCATACACTCTACATGGTTGGTGGTAAACCCAGGTTCCAGGCATCCATACACTCTACATGGTTGGTGGTAAACCCAGGTTCCAGGCATCCATACACTCAACATGGTTGGTGGTAAACCCAGGTTCAAGGCATCCATGCACTCCACATGGTTGGTGGTAAACCCAGGTTCCAGGCATCCATACACTCTACATGGTTGGTGGTAAACCCAGGTTCCAGGCATCCATACACTCTACATGGTTGGTGGTAAACCCAGGTTCCAGGCATCCATACACTCTACATGGTTGGTGGTAAACCCAGGTACCAGGCATCCATACACTCCACATGGTTGGTGGTAAACCCAGGTTCCAGGCATCCATACAAATACACTCCACATGGTTGGTGGTAAACCCAGGTTCCCGGCATCCATACACTCTACATGGTTGGTGGTAAACCCAGGTTCCAGGCATCTATACACTCTACATGGTTGGTGGTAAACCCAGGTTCCAGGCATCCATACACTCCACATGGTTGGTGGTAAACCCAGGTTCCAGGCATCCATACAAATACACTCCACATGGTTGGTGGTAAACCCAGGTTCAAGGCATCCATACGCTCTACATGGTTGGTGGTAAACCCAGGTTCCAGGCATACACTCTACATGGTTGGTGGTAAACCCAGGTTCCAGGCATCCATACTCTCTACATGGTTGGTGGTAAACCCAGGTTCCAGGCATCCATACACTCTACATGGTTGGTGGTAAACCCAGGTTCAAGGCATCCATACACTCCACATGGTTGGTGGTAAACCCAGGTTCAAGGCATCCATACACTCTACATGGTTGGTGGTAAACCCAGGTTCCAGGCATCCATACACTCTACATGGTTGGTGGTAAACCCAGGTTCCAGGCATCCATACACTCTACATGGTTGGTGGTAAACCCAGGTTCCAGGCATCCATACACTCCACATGGTTGGTGGTAAACCCAGGTTCCAGGCATCCATACACTCCACATGGTTGGTGGTAAACCCAGGTTCCAGGCATCTATACGCTCTACATGGTTGGTGGTAAACCCAGGTTCCAGGCATCCATACACTCCACATGGTTGGTGGTAAACCCAGGTTCCAGGCATCCATACACTCCACATGGTTGGTGGTAAACCCAGGTTCCAGGCATCCATACACTCCACATGGTTGGTGGTAAACCCAGGTTCCAGGCATCCATACACTCTACATGGTTGGTGGTAAACCCAGGTTCCAGGCATCCATACACTCTACATGGTTGGTGGTAAACCCAGGTTCCAGGCATCCATACACTCTACATGGTTGGTGGTAAACCCAGGTTCCAGGCATCCATACACTCTACATGGTTGGTGGTAAACCCAGGTTCCAGGCATACACTCTACATGGTTGGTGGTAAACCCAGGTTCCAGGCATCCATACACTCCACATGGTTGGTGGTAAACCCAGGTTCCAGGCATCCATACACTCTACATGGTTGGTGGTAAACCCAGGTTCCAGGCATCCATACGCTCCACATGGTTGGTGGTAAACCCAGGTTCCAGGCATCCATACACTCTACATGGTTGGTGGTAAACCCAGGTTCCAGGCATCCATACACTCCACATGGTTGGTGGTAAACCCAGGTTCCAGTTCACACAGTGATACAACTATGTTTGGTGGATTCTCCAGACAACTGGCTAGTGGAATTTTCTGATGATAGTCAAATGTTTCCGATGGACTTATATGTTTTCCGATACCTCAATACACTGCCTTCTGTTGCAAGCAAAACATTGACAGGGTCGAAGTGTTTAACTCATTCAGAGGCTGGTGTTATTCACATTCATTTGTTGCATGTTTGCTGTGTAGATCTGCTTGGTGTTTACATAATTATGTTTTAAAAATGTCAGGCTATCACACAGTACATGTTTTAAATGCAGTTACATCAGCAAGTGTCTTGTTTTTGTAGGTTAGTAGTATTATCACACATTCTCTTTTTCATATTTTAGTGCTTATCATCTGTGTAATATGAAAGTGCACGGTTTTGTGGTACCCTTTCCTAATAGTTTTACTACTTCTTCGACATTGGTTAAATGAAAGCGTGATGTCAAGACGGTGTAGCTGACACTGCAATCTAAAACCAATGGGATACATTTGGCTGTATATTGTCTATTGATAGACTCAGGCCATCAGGAATGTCTTTAGAGTGAAGATGTTGAGGTTGAACTTCTTAGCTTCTCTGGTGTATGGGAAAGAAGGAGGCTTTCCTTTTCTTGCCTTTTTTGTTCCTGCTTGACATATCACAAAAGTTGGTTATAGTGCACTAGTGTGATATGTTTACACTTAAAACAATTCTCCTGTACAACTGAATACCAAATGAGCAACTACGAAAACCACATCAAGTTTGTACTTCTGTATGGCATTATTAAGGAAGCTGAGAAGTTCTCAGCACACCACAGTATGCAGATACATGTAGTTTGTCGGAAATCTTTTTCACTGTACTTCCATAACTATGCAAAAAGTCTTTCAATTTGGTCAGAGGGTGGTTCCCCATATTCCCCTCTTATAGCTATAACAGACAGGTGTGAATGTATAGTTTATTCCATGTAACAATCCATCAGTCCATCAAGTTCTTCAGTATTTGTATGACCACCACTGGGTCAGCGCGATGTTCCATGTTCCTCTGCACGTGGTTCACCAGTCTCCTGATCGACTTGTAGTTCCCCCGCTTGTATTCCTCCACCTGTAAACCACAACAAGGATTGTTAAAGGCCCCTCACCACTACGAAACAAACTACATGGTAATATCAGGGTCCTTTTGCCCAGCTACAGATACATGACGGTGCGTTAGTTAGGTTGAAAGCTACATTGACCAGTATTCCAGTTATGTCACGCCTTGTCAGCTTGGTGTTGGAACAAAGCCACAAATGGAGCAACATCATCCACGAAAGAAAAGATTCCAACCCTTATCATACATTACCAGCACTCCTAAGGGCCACAACTTTGCCAAGCCAAGTCCAAAGCCTTTAACAACTATATGATCCATGCCCTGCATGACCCAAATACTGAGAAAACCACATGAATTTGTTATGTGAGGTGTCAGACTATTCATATTGAAGACATTTGGTATTGTTCACTTTGAAACTTCAGAGCTATCATTCTATAAAGAATTCATGAGAAAAATCTCCTTGGGCCTCTACTTTGAAACTTCAGAGCTAGATTTTCTCCAAAAGCTAGGAGAATCTGCCCGTCTCATTCATGTTATCCATACTTCCAGCCTTGATCACGCCAGACACCAAAAAAATAGCTGACATACCTGTCAGACCTGACATAGCTGACATACCTGTCTGACCTGGCATAGCTGACATACCTGTCAGACCTCACATAGCTGACATACCTGGCATAGCTAACATACCTGTCAGATCTGACATAGCTGTGGCAGACCTGACATAGCTGACATACCTGTCAGACCTGGCATAGCTGACATACCTGTCAGACCTGACATAGCTGACATACCTGTCAGACCTGACATAGCTGACATACCTGTCAGATCTGACATAGCTGACATACCTGACATACCTGACATAGCTGACATACCTGGCATAGCTGACATAGCTGTCAGACCTGACATAGCTGACATACCTGGCATAGCTAACATACCTGTCAGATCTGACATAGCTAACATACCTGTCAGACCTGACATAGCTGACATACCTGTCAGACCTGACATAGCTGACATACCTGTCAGACCTGACATAGCTGACATACCTGGCATAGCTGACATACCTGTCAGACCTGACATAGCTGACATACCTGGCATAGCTAACATACCTGACATAGCTGACATAGCTGACATACCTGTGAAGGTCCGGGTTAAAATTGATCTTCAGTAACCCATGCTTGTTGTAAGAGGCGACCAACGGAATTGGGTGGTCAGGCTCGCTGACTTGGTTGACACATGTCATCGGTTCCCAATTGCGCAGATGCCCATGCTGTTGATCACTGAATTGTCTGGTCCAGACTCGATTATTTACAGACTGCCGCCATAGAGCTGGAATATTGCTGAGTGCGGCGTAAAACTAAACTCACTCACATAGCTGACATAGATGGGGGGCAGGATAGTGGGCGAGTGGGCAAATGTCAAAGGAATGCCAGGTGATGACACTGGTTTGATCTGTCCAACAGTTCAACTCCTGGTTGGGATGTCTGACAGTGAAAAGGTCGTCTGGAACTTTGTAGTGTGATATTTACCAAAATACCGGGATTAGGGTTGAGCAGTTGAAGGAATGATGGCAGGGAGGTTGTTATTGTCCCTCCCTCATTGGTCCAAGTAATGATATGTGAAGAGATGAGACTCACAGATCGTTGCTGTTGCTGAACCGCTTCTTCACATGCTGGTGTGAGTCTGTCCACGTCCTGTATCTGGAACCAGTCATTGGCCGTCACAATCCTCCGGGGGTTGCTGTCGGGGTGCAGACTCATCTCGCCCAACACCTGCCCAAACATACAACACTATAGGGTTGCAGACACATCACGCCCAACACCTGCCCAAACATATAACACTGTAGGGTTGCAGACACATCACGCCCAACACCTGCCCAACCATACAACACTATAGGGTTGCAGACATCAGCACCAACCATACAACACTATAGGGTTGCAGACACATCACGCCCAACACCTGCCCAAACATACAACACTATAGGGTTGCAGACACATCACGCCCAACACCTGCCCAAACATACAACACTATAGGGTTGCAGACACATCACGCCCAACACCTGCCCAAATATACAACACTATAGGGTTGCAGACACATCACGCCCAACACCTGCCCAAACATACAACACTGTAGGGTTGCAGACACATCATCGCCCCCAACACCTGCCCAAACATACAACACTGTAGGGTTGCAGACACATCACGCGTAACACCTACCAAACATACAACACTATAGGGTTGCAGACACATCACCCAACACCTGCCCAAACATACAATACTATAGGGTTGCAGACACATCGCCCAACACCTGCCCAAACATACAATACTATAGGGTTGCAGACACATCACGCCCAACACCTGCCCAAACATACAACACTATAGGGTTGCAGACTCATCTCGGCCAACACCTGCCCAACCATACAACACTATAGAGTTGCAGACACATCACGCCCAACACCTGCCCAAACATAAAACACTGTAGGGTTGCAGACACATCACGCCCAACCATACAACACTATAGGGTTGCAGACACATCACGCCCAACACCTGCCCAACCATACAACACTATAGGGTTGCAGACACATCACGCCCAACACCTGCCCAACCATACAACACTATAGGGTTGCAGACACATCACGCCCAACACCTGCCCAAACATACAACACTATAGGGTTGCAGACACATCACGCCCAACACCTGCCCAAACATACAACACTATAGGGTTGCAGACTCATCACGCCCAACACCTGACATAGCTGTCTGACCTGACATACCTGTCAGACCTGACATAGCTGACATACCTGTCAGACCTGACATAGCTGACATACCTGTCAGACCTCACATAGCTGACATACCTGTCATAGCTGACATACCTGTCAGACCTGACATACCTGTCAGACCTCACATAGCTGACATACCTGTCAGACCTGACATAGCTGACATAGCTGTCAGACCTGACATACCTGACATAGCTGACATACCTATACAACACTATTGGGTTGCAGACTCATCTCGCCCAACACCTACCCAAATATACAACACTATAGGGTTGCAGACACATCACGCCCAACACCTGCCCAAACACACAACACTATAGGGTTGCAGACACAACACGCCCAACACCTACCCAAACATACAACACTATAGGGTTGCAGACACATCACGCCCAAGACCTGCCCAAACATACAACACTATAGGGTTGCAGACACATCTCGACCAACACCTGCCCAAACATATAACACTATAGTGACTGTAATCAACATATAGGTACACAATACTTGTATTATGATTAAGGTCAAGCTGCTTCCCTGATGTATGCCTTTAATTAAGCATGCAAACGTAAACAATATTGACATTTTAACATTTTTTACCACTGCCTTGACTGCTCCTTAATCCTGGAATTATTTTCTCCACCTAAAAATAGGCTTTTCTATGTAAATTTTACTGAAACATGCTGGTAAAACAAAGTACCTCTTTGAATAGTTACGGAAAACAGACAAGCTCAGTTTTTAGAGGTGATTGGGTGTGTCAGTATATGTGTATAAATGTTGTACAAATTAAACAAGTCTCTCAGGCCATCAATGTATCAATTTGCCAGTCCTGGAACTATTCAATCACCATTGCTGGAAACCTGGAGACAAGAAGCCTGTTTAGAGAGGCCAGCTGTTGAGCTGAGAACTGTTTCCATGGCTACAGTGACCTGACACACGTGCAGTATTGCTGACATCTCACACTGACTGTAGTTGTAGCCACGGAAACTACACCAGCACTACACACCTTCCTCACGATGTCAAACGACACCTCTCTTCTCTGGAACATGTCGTACAACTCTCCAAACTGTTCTGTAGAAATGGGGCTGAAAGAACGCAACACAACATGAGAAACAGTCCTGTCCTGGGTTACACACAACATGAGAAACAGTCCTGTCCTGTGTTACACACAACATGAGAAACAGTTCTGTCCTGGGTTACACACAACATGAGAAACAGTCCTGTCCTGTGTTACATACAACATGAAACACAGTTCTGTCCTGTGTTACACATCTTAGCAAAAAACTGTAACATTACTGAAATTGTTAAATACATGTATATTTAAAAGTATATGTCATATAAAGATTCTCAGCCACTTATGAGGAATAAGTTCAAATCTGACAATATCTACGTCACAACAAAAGCTAACTGATTATTTTCTTGGTCTTCAGTAGTATATAAACACTGTGCACCAAAAGCAGCTCATCTGATCCCATACTTCAAGTGACCTCAGTGCTGACATGTACTGTGTCCTGAGTCTGATGTAAGTTGGTGAGTTTTATTCTACAGCAATATTCCAGCTATATGGCGGCAGTCTGTAAATAATCCAGTCTGGACCAGACAATTCAGTGATCAACAGCATGAGCATCAATCTACGCAACTGGGAAATGATGACATGTGTCAACCAAGTCAGCGAGCCTGATTACCGAATCCCATTAGTCGCCTCTTATGACAAGCATGGCTTACTGAAGATCAATTCTAACCCGGATCTTCACAGGTGTCTTATTTAGACAAGACCCATGAAATACATTCAAAGAGATTCCTATGTTTTTGCTGAGAGCCTTCAGATGTGTCATATACAGTTTACAAAAGGATACCTGTCGGGGAAGGTCCGTGACAGTGAGTTGAGCTGTCCAAGCAGTTCGTTGACAAGCAGGTTGGCCACAGACTTGGCGTCTCGAGTCTTCTCTTTCATCACAGTCTCAAAGTAGGACACCATCCTTTCATTCTGCAACCAGTGATGACAGCATTAAGTGCCACCAACCATAACCCTGCTTCATAAGTTCACAACGTGGAACTACAGGCTGGCACATCTAGAATATATCTAGTTGCCAGTGTCTTCTTTTATCACCATTTGTATTTCAAACACACATCTCTTAAAGGATTCACACCTGTATGTGGACATCCTACTGGACATTGGATTTACACCTGTATGTGGACATCCTACTGGACATTGGATTTACACCTGTATGTGGACATCCTGCAGGACATTGGATTTACACCTGTATGTGGACATTCTACTGGACATTGGATTTACATCTGTATGTGGACATCCTACTGGACATTGGATTTACACCTGTACATGGACATCCTACTGGACATTGGATTTACACTTGTATGTGGACATTCTACTGGACATTGGATTTACACCTGTACATGGACATTCTACTGGACATTGGATTTACACCTGTATGTGGACATCCTACTGGACATTGGATTTACACCTGTATGTGGACATCCTACTGGACATTGGATTTACACCTGTACGTGGACATTCTGCAGGACATTGGATTTACACCTGTACGTGGACATCCTGCAGGGATTGGATTTTCTGTATGTGGACATTCTACTGGACATTGGATTTACACCTGTATGTGGACATTCTACTGGACATTTGATTTACACCTGTATGTGGACATCCTACTGGACATTGAATTTACACCTGTATGTGGACATCCTACTGGACATTGGATTTACACCTGTATGTGGACATTCTACTGGACATTGGATTTACACCTGTATGTGGATATCCTGCAGGACATTGGATTTACACCTGTATGTGGACATTCTACTGGACATTGGATTTACACCTGTACGTGGACATCCTGCAGGACATTGGATTTACACCTCTACGTGGACATCCTGCAGGACATTGGATTTACACCTGTACGTGGACATCCTGCAGGACATTGGATTTACACCTGTACGTGGACATCCTGCAGGAAAGTCCACATCAGCCCTGACTACAGACACTACCAGTTGCACTACACACAGATGGGGCATGGATCAACCGGCATCTTACCTGCCAAACCCAAACATACATACCTTCCCTAACTACATTCAAACACTTTTCACATGTATGTCCATGACCATCACATTTGACTACTTACAATGAGTAAGTGAGTGAGTGAGTTTAGTTTTACGCCGCACTCAGCAATATTCCAGCTATATGGCAGCGGTTTGTAAATAATTGAGTCTGGACCAGACAATCCAGGGATCAACAGCATGAGCATCGATCTACGCAATTGGGAACCGATAACATGTGTCAACCAAGTCAGCAAGCCTGACCACCCGATCCTGTTAGTCGCCTCTTACGACAAGCATGGGCTACTGAAGATCAATATTCTAACCCGGACTTTCACAGGTCACTTACAATGAGAGTAAGGACCACAGACAAAGAGAGGCCATATTGTTCCTGCAGACGTGAGCGCGTTTGGGCAGGGAGTTCCGGCATGGTGGCCTGTACTTGGTCTATGAGGATGACCTGCGGCCTGGTTTGGTCTGGGACGGTTGAGTACACATGAAGGGGAGGCAGGTTTGGCTCTGGCATGAAGCGGTAGTCAATCAGTCTCTCCTTGTCTCTCATTGCAACTGTCTTTCTGTGTCAACATAATATCATTGGAAACCAGGGAGTAATATTATCAAGACCACGGGATAATCTTGGGGATGCCATGCATGGACGTGAAGGTCCCATGAAGATTGCTTTACCACACACTACAAAGTATGTCTTGTACCTTGTACTCATTACCAGATGGGGATTTCCTTGTTAGAACTTTGTGCTTGTGAGAAGAAAGTGTGACATGGACTGATGAGATGAGAAACACCCTGGCCGACTCACCCACTGTGAGATTCAAATGACCTGGTTTCATTGACAATCTCGCGACCAGCTTCCAGTTCACTGATGTGACGTTTTATTTCAAAGTCTGAAAATAATATGATTGATACAGTATAGTTGATGACTTACCAACTGCGGTGATAACCCCCATGTATAACAACCCTGATAATCCCAGTGTATATACAATTCAGTAAATTGCCAAGTATAGCCATGATAACCCCAGTGTATATACAATTCAGTAAATTACCAAGTATAGCCCTGATAACCCCAGTGTATATACAATTCAGTAAATTACCAAGTATAGCCATGATAACCCCAGTGTATTACATAGAATGCAGCAGATGACTTACTTATCGCCTTGGCGACACCCCTGGTGCTGTTGATATTCTTCACCTCGCTCTTCACCCCAAGTGGTTCTCCTGGCCTGTGTACTGAGATGTTGGCATCCACTCGCAATGAGCCCTCTACAACACACGGCATACCAACATTACCTTGGTAATAGCAAGGTGTACAGCGAGATGTGAAATGAGATATCTATACATGATATGAGGGTGTGAGATCAGACACATGACTTCATGATGAGACAATAATGATATGATATGAAGATGTTAGGAGACGTGAGGTGAGGTGAAATCGGGTTTAACGTCGTGCTTGAGAATATTTCGCTCATAGGACGGCGTGCATGCGTGTGTATGTGTATGTGCGGCTGCTTGTACTAGCCCAGGCTTAAGCTGGTTTTATAGTGCTAGCTCACTGAGATACCATACCGCAGTGAAACATGAATACCCCACTCAGACACATTATACTGACTCCGAGCCAACCAGTCCTTGTTGTACCCATTAATGCCGAGAGCAAGGCAGGGACCAACAAGTACCATATTTTAACGTCTTTTGGTATGACGCTGTCGGGAATCGAACCCGCGACCTTCCGCTCTCCGGGCGGATGCTCTAACCACTACACCACGGAGGCGGTCAGATGTTAGGAGAGACATCACAATATAACACATCACAGCAGGACATGACGTATCACTTCAGGACATGACACATCACTTCAGGACATGAGACATCACTTCAGGACATGAGACATCACCTCATGACATGAGACATCACCTCATGACATGACATCACTCCATGACATGAGACATCACCTCATGACATGAGACATCACCTCATGACATGACATCACTCCATGACATGACATCACTTCAGGACATGAGACGTCACTTCATGACATGAGACATCACCTCATGACATGACATCACTCCATGACATGACACATCACTTCGGGACATGAGACATCACTCCATGACATGAGACATCACCTCATGACATGAGACATCACCTCATGACATGAGACATCACCTCAGGACATGACATCACTTCAGGACATGACATCACTTCAGGACATGAGACATCACTTCAGGACATGAGACATCACTTCAGGACATGAGACATCACCTCATGACATGACATCACTTCAGGACATGAGACATCACTTCAGGACATGAGACATCACCTCATGACATGAGACATCACTGTAGGATATGAGACATCATTTCATGACATGCCACATCACTCCATGACACGAGACATCACCTCCTGACATCAGACATCACTTCACGACATAAAACATCACTCTATGACATAAGACATCAAAAAGGAAATGAGACATCACTATAGGATATGAGACATCATTCCATGACATGAGACATCACTAATGATGATACATCACGACCTATATGGGACATCCCCTGTACCTGCCATCTTGCCATCACAAGTCCCCAGGGTCTGCAGTATCAGCTGCAGCTCCTTCACAAACGCTGCAGCATCTTCTCCATTGTTGAAGTCTGGCTCTGTCACAATCTCCATCAGACCAACACCTGCATGAGAAAGAGTCATATGAAAGCCAGCAGGTAAGTAGTTTATTCTGAGGGAACCAACACATGGTTGTCACCTGGATGATCATGGACTGAGTGTAGTGTAACAATGTCAGTGCTAAGTTAGTGACACAGACGTATGTACCGGTATATATTGGTGTGTGTTTGTGTACCTGCTCGGTTGAGGTCGATGAGACAGATGTGTGTTTGTGTACCTGCTCGGTTGAGGTCGATGAGAATGAAGTGTGCATGTGTACCTGCTCGGTTGAGGTCGATGAGACTGATGTGTGTTCGTGTACCTGCTCGGTTGAGGTCGATGAGACTGATGTGTGTTCGTGTACCTGCTCGGTTGAGGTCGATGAGACTGATGTGTGTTCGTGTACCTGCTCGGTTGAGGTCGATGAGACTGATGTGACCTGTGGGGTCATGGAGACTCTTCCCGCTGTCTTGTTCCAGCTGCAGCTGGATCAGTCGGACCTTCCTTTGTGTCGGGGGTAGCTTCCTGTTGGGTTCCACAGTCATGTAGTCCACCTCTCCACCCACTGCCAGGGGTTGTCGCTGCTGGGTGATCTGGTAGCCTGCCTGCCACAGACACCATGATGAGACATATACACTAACAGACACCATGATGAGACACACACACTAACAGACACCATGATGAGAGACACACACTAACACAGACACCATGATGAGACACATATACTAACATGGAAACCAGTATTTTTCCCTTTGGCATCAAATTCATCAACAGGATTCAGAGAGTGAGGTTGTAAATATTTGATAATATTTTCAAGCAATGTATAGGCTGGGGCCAAAGAATGGGCTGAAGACATATTGTTCATGTTGTGGACAAACTGTTTACCATATTTACCAACCTGTGCCAGCACAATATATTACACTGTGTTTTACAATAGTAATTACATGTCCACACTGTCAACTGAATCCTATTTCCCCATACTCTCATCATAGTCTCTGTCAAAGTTGAAACTAGCAGCAGTATCGCTAGTGTAGATTCAGATACAGATACTGTACTTCCGTAGTCTGTACAACAACAGTCTCCTGTCTGAATCAGGTACAGCTACCACATGTTCAGATGAGGCTGTCATTGTAAATGTATGCAAACGCTCATTCAAGAGGCAGTTTGATTGGTGGCTAATTCCAGGGTCAATAGCAAGAGAATGTTGGCTCCAAGTTAAAGAAATGGTTAAATAAAGATACCGTGGCAAATGGGTCATGCCCACATGTGTGACCAATATAAGGAAACAATCATGATTATTTCATAAAAATCATTTGGACATGTTGAGATTTAAATGTTTTTTCTTACCGGAAGGTCAGCATAGAAGTAGTGTTTTCTGTCAAACTTGGACACTTGGTTGACGTGACAGTTGAGGGCCAGTGCTGTGAGCACACCTGCGGCGACACACTCTCGGTTCAGGACCTGCCACACACATACTGGCATCAACACAAGGATGGAGGGAGTCCAGTCACCAATATTACAGTATCATATCAGTTGGCTGTCAATGACGAAGTCGGGATTATGCAATCCAGTTCTACAAAACTTAAGTGACAATCATCTCTGCTGGGGTACAGTGTATAACCATTTAGGGTACTATGTCACTCACTGTGACCACATGATCCTCAATAGCCAGCACCTGTTACAGTAATTGGTGACATATTCCAGGCATGTGTCTGGGATCTAAACAATGGTGCCATGTTTTGTCTGGGATCTAGACAATGGTACGGTGCCAGGTATTGTCTGGGATTTACTCACCGGCAGGGTGCCAGGCATGTGTCTGGGATCTACAAGATGGTAGGATGCCAGGTATTGTCTGGGATTTACTCACCGGCAGGGTGCCAGGCATGTGTCTGGGATCTACACAATGGTAGGGTGCCAGGTATTGTCTGGGATTTACTCACCGCGGCAGGGTGCCAGGCATGTGTCTGGGATCTACAAGATGGTAGGATGCCAGGTATTGTCTGGGATTTACTCACCGGCAGGGTGCCAGGCATGTGTCTGGGATCTACACAATGGTAGGGTGCCAGGTATTGTCTGGGATTTACTCACCGGCAGGGTGCCAGGCATGTGTCTGGGATCTACAAGATGGTAGGATGCCAGGTATTGTCTGGGATTTACTCACCGGCAGGGTGCCAGGCATGTGTCTGGGATCTACAAGATGGTAGGATGCCAGGTATTGTCTGGGATTTACTCACCGGCAGGGTGCCAGGCATGTGTCTGGGATCTAGACAATGGTAGGATGCCAGGTATTGTCTGGGATTTACTCACCGGCAGGGTGCCAGGCATGTGTCTGGGATCTACACAATGGTAGGGTGCCAGGTATTGTCTGGGATTTACTCACCGGCAGGGTGCCAGGCATGTGTCTGGGATCTACAAGATGGTAGGATGCCAGGTATTGTCTGGGATTTACTCACCGCAGGGTGCCAGGCATGTGTCTGGGATCTACACAATGGTAGGGTGCCAGGTATTGTCTGGGATTTACTCACCGGCAGGGTGCCAGGCATGTGTCTGGGATCTACAAGATGGTAGGATGCCAGGTATTGTCTGGGATTTACTCACCGGCAGGGTGCCAGGCATGTGTCTGGGATCTACACAATGGTAGGGTGCCAGGTATTGTCTGGGATTTACTCACCGGCAGGGTGCCAGGCATGTGTCTGGGATCTACAAGATGGTAGGATGCCAGGTATTGTCTGGGATTTACTCACCGGCAGGGTGCCAGGCATGTGTCTGGGATCTACACAATGGTAGGGTGCCAGGTATTGTCTGGGATTTACTCACCGGCAGGGTGCCAGGCATGTGTCTGGGATCTACAAGATGGTAGGATGCCAGGTATTGTCTGGGATTTACTCACCGCAGGGTGCCAGGCATGTGTCTGGGATCTACACAATGGTAGGGTGCCAGGTATTGTCTGGGATTTACTCACCGGCAGGGTGCCAGGCATGTGTCTGGGATCTACACAATGGTAGGGTGCCAGGTATTGTCTGGGATTTACTCACCGGCAGGGTGCCAGGCATGTGTCTGGGATCTACACAATGGTAGGGTGCCAGGTATTGTCTGGGATTTACTCACCGGCAGGGTGCCAGGCATGTGTCTGGGATCTACAAGATGGTAGGATGCCAGGTATTGTCTGGGATTTACTCACCGCAGGGTGCCAGGCATGTGTCTGGGATCTACACAATGGTAGGGTGCCAGGTATTGTCTGGGATTTACTCACCGGCAGGGTGCCAGGCATGTGTCTGGGATCTACAAGATGGTAGGATGCCAGGTATTGTCTGGGATTTACTCACCGCAGGGTGCCAGGCATGTGTCTGGGATCTCTGAGATGGTAGGGTGCCAGGTATTGTCTGGGATTTACTCACCGGGCAGGGTGCCAGGCATGTGTCTGGGATCTACAAGATGGTAGGGTGCAAGGTATTGTCTGGGATTTACTCACCGGCAGGGTGCCAGGCATGTGTCTGGGATCTACACAATGGTAGGGTGCCAGGTATTGTCTGGGATTTACTCACCGGCAGGGTGCCAGGCATGTGTCTGGGATCTAGACAATGGTAGGGTGCCAGGTATTGTCTGGGATTTACTCACCGGCAGGGTGCCAGGCATGTGTCTGGGATCTACAAGATGGTAGGATGCCAGGTATTGTCTGGGATTTACTCACCGCAGGGTGCCAGGCATGTGTCTGGGATCTACAAGATGGTAGGATGCCAGGTATTGTCTGGGATTTACTCACCCGGCAGGGTGCCAGGCATGTGTCTGGGATCTAGACAATGGTAGGGTGCCAGGTATTGTCTGGGATTTACTCACCGGCAGGGTGCCAGGCATGTGTCTGGGATCTACAAGATGGTAGGATGCCAGGTATTGTCTGGGATTTACTCACCGCAGGGTGCCAGGCATGTGTCTGGGATCTACAAGATGGTAGGATGCCAGGTATTGTCTGGGATTTACTCACCGCAGGGTGCCAGGCATGTGTCTGGGATCTAGACAATGGTAGGATGCCAGGTATTGTCTGGGATTTACTCACCGGCAGGGTGCCAGGCATGTGTCTGGGATCTACACAATGGTAGGGTGCCAGGTATTGTCTGGGATTTACTCACCGGCAGGGTGCCAGGCATGTGTCTGGGATCTACACAATGGTAGGGTGCCAGGTATTGTCTGGGATTTACTCACCCGCAGGGTGCCAGGCATGTGTCTGGGATCTACACAATGGTAGGGTGCCAGGTATTGTCTGGGATTTACTCACGGCAGGGTGCCAGGCATGTGTCTGGGATCTACAAGATGGTAGGATGCCAGGTATTGTCTGGGATTTACTCACCCGGCAGGGTGCCAGGCATGTGTCTGGGATCTACACAATGGTAGGGTGCCAGGTATTGTCTGGGATTTACTCACCGGCAGGGTGCCAGGCATGTGTCTGGGATCTACAAGATGGTAGGATGCCAGGTATTGTCTGGGATTTACTCACCGGCAGGGTGCCAGGCATGTGTCTGGGATCTACAAGATGGTAGGATGCCAGGTATTGTCTGGGATTTACTCACCGGCAGGGTGCCAGGCATGTGTCTGGGATCTGCAAGATGGTAGGGTGCCAGGTATTGTCTGGGATTTACTCACCGGCAGGGTGCCAGGCAGGGCAGCATCAAAGAAGGAGACTTGTGTGTTTATTGGACTTCCATACTTCGTAGCTGAGGCAGAGAACAGCTTGGACATGGACTGTATCTGGGCATGTATCTCCAGCCCCACGACACTTCTCCATCCCGACTCCACCCTGAAGAAACTCCGGTGTTTATAGCAATGTATTTACACATGACTGGAGCTGCTGTTTTTCCATCTCTTGCTGATCTGTTGTGTTTATTTGTTTATCTGGACATGTTTCAGATCTAAATTTTCATTATGGTAAGTGAAGGTGTCACTCAATCAATCTTTATTCACTTAAAAACAACCTACAGATATATTAAACATAATACTTGCGTCTTAGGAACTATTTCTTAACAGGATTTGGAAAAATATTCATGAACTTAGACAGGCATTTCAGATCTATTTGTGCATTTAGGTGTTGAAAAGTTACAATAGTTATATACATTAGGGTATTGATAATATACTTTAGTTTAATTTAGTTTCAATATACAATAATTTGGTTGGGAGAAGAACTTCACATCTAAAGATGTAATAAAACTCATCTCCCATTCCACTTTGGTTGTATAGTTTACGATCTTCCCTCGCAATGCCCTGCCACCAGCCAGTCTCTATGAGTAAGTCATGGTTTGAAGTGTTGAATATGTCACTACATAATCCAGTCTTAATTCAAGTGCACCATGGCACTGTAAATACTGGTGACATCACTCACTATATGCAGACGGTTACTCACCGTGATTGACATGAGTGAATTGCAAACATAACTGGTAACTACTGGCAAACAAGGATAAGTTGGACCGGCATAGAGAACGTGTTTACGAGAAGTAGGCGGTGCACGGCAATGAGCAACCCATTTGGTTTGTGAAAGGTAGAGCAGATGTAGGCTAGTGTACGTGCATTGCATGACGATGAAATTGATTCCACACGTAGCTGTACACGCCTTGTTCATTAGACTCTCACGTCGGTGTAGCAAGTCACACTACACTTGATCACGGACAACCTGGGTCCCCTTCGCTAACAATGGCAAGCGCCAGTGGGTGGCACCCATACATGCTAATACGGGTCAATTGTCAGGTCGGTGCTCAACTTATCCTTGTTTCCCAGTAAGTAATGCAATGAACACATTACAAAATCAAATCAAAAGCTAACAGAAAACAAAACAACTCCCCATCCAAAAAAACCAACAACCCAAAAACAACAACCAACCAACAAAACAAAAAAAGAAAAGCTTAAAACTGAAGCAGTTGCTCTAGTCTTCAATTTGTCTCACATCATTGTAAAAGTTAACTATAAATGAGATGACTGTAAATCCGTTTTCATTCCTTACGAGTATGGTGCATGGGCTTCAATACAATCTACCAGGAAGTGACGTGATGTGTTTCTGGTGCGTTGTATGAAAATATTATGGAAACATCATTGGCTTGGTTTGGTTTGATTGTTGTTCAACTCCGCACTCAGTAATACAGCTACATGGAGACGATCTGTGTAGCAGGGCTTGGAGTCATCCCACAGATGACATCCTTACCTTGCCAGCTTGCTGACGGGTTAACCTCTTTGGTCATGTGGACAAGGCGTCCGACTTTGGATTAGAAGGTCTGTGGTTCGAATACCAGCACGGGACTCGGAAATTTTATGGCCGCTACATCTGTTTATAATCGAGACCAGGCAATCCAGTGATCAACATCATGAGCATCGATCTAGGCAATTGGGATACGATGACAATCATGTCAAACATCAACGGAATTAGCTGGGTGACCGGTTGGTATGGCCGTGGAATTCACGTAGTCTTTGGAATCTCCTTAACGATGACAACATTAACGGCGATGTAGGCGAGAAATGAGGGACTGTTATCTGGGATGTCTTGTTTCATCAATGTCATAGGTGGATCCAGGAATTTTCAAAGGGGGGATGGGATGGGAGGAGAGATGTTGGGGACCCCCCACCCCCTCAATGTGCCAGTGAATGTATTTATTGCGAAGCAAGTGTAATTGTAAGTGTTACAAACGTCTCTTTGGCTTTAAAAGGAAACTACCTGGCATTTTTTCGAGAAGAATCTGTGAAACTTATGTCTTGAAAATGACTTGTGATACCCGCACGTCTTGCACGGAACATAGCGAATGGAAGCTGCCATGTTGACAGTGATCGAAGGGAAGTAATTCTATGATAGCTACTACAGTACCGCTACGAAATTCCACATCATAGTGTACCATATTGAGGCATTTAACGTTTAGATAGTGCCAAGAATTGTTTTTGTCACTGAAGGAGTCTTAGCTCTATGCAAAATTGCTCAGACCTCGTCAGTGACAGTATATACCCAGATGCCAGTGTTTTTGCACAAACCCTGCGAAGTCTACTATTCGATGCTCATGCTGATGGACGCACATATTTCGTAATAGAACCGCGCCACCTAGCGTGGGTAACTCCCGGTTAATATACAAAGCCTGTCACCCGGCGAAATGGATTTACTTCACTATTATAACAAATGAAAACATTTTGAAGTTTAACTTCATCTGCCAGTGGTTAAAAATGTTTGGACTGAAAAAGCACACACAACTATATAGTTTTGTTACCCATTGGAAAATTAAGAAAAGGCGAAAATAATATGACCCCGTGAGCACTATCACAGAACAATTCAATGTTTAATCAAAAAGATGAAACGAGAAAAGGGAATAAAACGTCAAAACGTAACCGCAAGACTGACGTTACTTGAAAACGCAATAACTTGAGAAAAAACACTTGCACGTGCAACATGGAAATTTCTTGTCAAGCATGCTGTCACGTCAGGACAGGGCTATGAAAGGCAAACGTGAAATCAGCATTGTCAGTCTTCATAACCGTGTCCGATACTTCCTTAAGATGCCAGGACGGATGGGCAAAGAAACAATGTCATTGGGCGTCTGCAGATGGGAGCTACCCAAACCGATGTTGCCAGAAAAATGCCATATGTAAATGTTAAGGCATCTACTAGAAGTATCACTCTGCCATATGTAAATATTATGGCATTCACTAGAATTATCACTATCATATATATAGTTATAGCTATCAATAGAAGTATCACTCTGCCATACGTAAATGTTATGACATTCACTAGAAGTATCACTACCATATATATATAGTTATAGCTATCACTAGAATTATCACTACCATATATATAGTTATAGCTATCACTAGACTGATCACACTGCCATATGTAAGTGTTATGGCAATCACTAGAAGTATCACTCTGCCATATGCATTCACTAGAAGTATCACTCTGCCATATGTAAGTGTTATGGCAATCACTAGAAGTATCACTCTGCCATATGTAAGTGTTATGGCATTCACTAGAAGTATCACTGTGCCTTATGTAACTGTTATGGCATTCACTAGAAGTATCACTGTGCCTTATGTAACTGTTATGGCATTCACTACGATTAACACTGCCATATATATATAATAGATACTTACAGCATTCACAGGAAAGTTATCTTGTCACTTTGTTACCTTGTCACTGTGTTACCTTGTCACTTTGTTACCTTGTTACTTTATCTTGTCACTTTGATACCTCGTCACTTTGTTTCCTTGTGACTGGTATACTTATTTACTTGTGTTGCTTAGCTTGTTACCTTGTCATTTTGTTATCTTGTCACTTTGTTACCTTGTCACTTTGTTTCATGTCACTGGTATACTTAGTTAGTTACTTACCTTGTTACTTAGCTTGTTACCTTGTCACTTTGTTACCTTGTCACTTTGTTACCTTGTCACTTTGTTACCTTGTCACTGGTGTACTTAGTTACTTACCTTGTTACTTAGCTTGTTACCTTGTCACTTTGTTACCTTCTTACTTTATCTTGTCACTTTGATACCTCGTCACTTTGTTTCCTTGTCACTGGTATACTTATTTACTTGTGTTGCTTAGCTTGTTACCTTGTCATTTTGTTATCTTGTCACTTTGTTATCTTGTCACTTTGTTACCTTCTCACTTTGTTACCTTGTCACTGGTGTACTTAGTTAGTTACTTACCTTGTTACACAAACCATTAGAGAGGACCAGAGCATGAGGATACAGAAGTAGTAACTGAACCTTGAATACTTGGTGAGAAGAATATAATATTTCCTTGTCTCAAATGTGTCTTTCACTCCGTAATTACAACATTCTCACATCAGAGGTATTTATTTACAAATGTTTATATTGTCTGTAAAATATGGTAGCATGAAAAAAAATAAAATAAAAAATGATTGATGAAGTTACGTCTCCTCTTTTTTTATGATCAACTGCAGTTTAGCATGTAGGGTCTAATTTGTCAGTCAGGTATCACAGACTTGAAGGGTTGGTTGGATAGCCTAGTGGTTAAGTGTTTGCTGGTCATGCTGAAGACACAGGTTTGATTCCCCACATGGGTACTATATGTGAAGCCCATTTGTGGGGTCCCCCGCACTGATATTACTGGAATATTGGTTAAAGCCGCATAAAACAATCCTCGCTCACTCACTCACTTAAAAGTTTATTCACCTACTACTTCAAGTGTAGGCAAGTTCATTCATGTTCAAAAATATAATCTTTTAATAAAAAAATAAGATTTCAATATATGTTGATGTAAAGAAACACTGATTGAGAGCAATTTCAGTGGACTGATTGTTGCTATCGTTACTTTTTCCCGTGAGTACCCGGATGATAGCCCAGAATTCTTGACTGGTTTGCGATCTCTGCTGCGTCACCCGCAAGCACAACTGGTGGTATAAGCACACATTGATCAACAAAGATGAAAACTATTTTACTCATTAATATTTCTATCTTCATTATTATGATAACACATGAAAGCATGTTGAAGTTAGTCTTCAAATGCCAGTGGTTAAATCTGTTAGGACTAAAATAAAGTGAGTGAGTGACTTTGGTTTTACGCCGCACTCAGCAATATTCAAGCTATATGGCGGCGGTCTGTAAATAATCGTGTCTGGACCAGACAATCCAGTGATCAACAGCATGAGCATCGATCTGCGCAATTTGGAACCTATGACGTGTCAACCAAGCCAGCGAGCCTGACCACCCGATCCCGTTAGTTGCCTCTTACGACAAGCATGGGTTATTGAAGATCAATGTTCTAACCGGACCTTCACGGGTTGTAAAATAAAGATGTCAAATGTACGTCTTTATATTTTGCCTTATAATCCTAATTAGTTTATTATTATTATACTTGTTTGCATTTTGAAACATAACAAAAAGTACACTATCTGTTTATATTGAATATATAACATGACTGTTATATCCTGACATTCATGCCATCGTGAATCATATTTCACACACACACACACACACACACACACACACACACACACACACACACACACACACACACACACACACACTAACACACTAACACACTAACACACACACACACACTAACACACACACACTAACACACTAAGTGCGACAAAGTGTATGTTGTCTGTCTCATTACTTTACGAGTTCTGTGTACTCGTGAAAAATTCTAACTAGAGACACCATGTCCTGAAATTCGTCTCTGCTCTCAGTGTCCTCAACTCCTCGAACTGCTTGGCGTGCTGTGGAGAACACCCTAGCACGAGTTGTTTCCTCTTTAAAACAATTTTTAATGTCACTAATAGCAAGAATTGAAGACATCAATAATCGAATTAAAGATATCTCTAATTGAATTGAAGATATCTGTAATACAGTTGTGGATATGTACCAGTCATTTCAATATATCTAGAATTGAATTCAATAAAACTTGAATGAATTTCTAATACAATTGTGTTAACTATGATCGTAATTGTTTATCATTTAGAGATATCACGAAATATGTTCTTGATATCTGTATAACATTTTGAGATATCAGTTATTTTTTTTTTTATTTGAGAAATTAATTAAAGTTATCTTGAATTATTTACTGATATTTTTAAAACAGTATTTATATCTTTAAATAAAATACAGATATCTCTAAAACAATTGAATATATTGTATATATGTAATGTCTTAATAAATGTGAAAACGGCTTGCCATAAGTTCGCATTGGTGGCCGTGGCCTAATAATATTTGTTCACATTCATCGGAATATACAGTTACACAAAAACATATTCATTGTACAAACAGTGTAGCAACGTTCTTAATTAGAAAATAATAACTGGCCATTTGTTATGCGCTTTAATCCACACACTAGTGCATGCTCAAACGCAGGGGGAAAAGGGGGAGTGTCAGTTATACACAGAGAATAAAAATAAGTCTTCAGTTGTGATTTGAAAGCTGTCAGAGGATCAGAGTCTTTGATGTGGACTGGCAGTGAATTCCATATTCTGGGGGCTGCATGAAAGTGAGTGAGTGAGTGAGTTTAGTTTTACGCCGCTTTCCAGCAATATCACGGCGGGGGACACCAGAAATGGGCTTCACACATTGTGCCCTTGTGGGGAATCGAACCCGGGTCTTCGGCGTGACGAGCGAACGCTTTAACCATTAGGCTACCCCACCGCCCCAGCTGCATGAAAGAACGATCGTTTACCAAATGAGGAAAGTCGGAAAGTTGGTACAATAAGTTGGAGCTGGTTGTGAGATGGAAGAGTTCTGGCTGGTGTGTATACAGCGATCAGGTCAGTGAGGTAGGGTGGGGCTTGGTTGTGAGATGGAAGAGTTCTGGCTGGTGTGTATACAGCGATCAGGTCAGTGAGGTAGGGTGGGGCTTGGTTGTGAGATGGAAGAGTTCTGGCTGGTGTGTATACAGCGATCAGGTCAGTGAGGTAGGGTGGAGCTGGTTGTGAGATGGAAGAGTTCTGGCTGGTGTGTATACAGCGATCAGGTCAGTGAGGTAGGGTGGAGCTTGGTTGTGAGATGGAAGAGTTCTGGCTGGTGTGTATACAGCGATCAGGTCAGTGAGGTAGGGTGGAGCTTGGTTGTGAGATGGAAGAGTTCTGGCTGGTGTGTATACAGCGATCAGGTCAGTGAGGTAGGGTGGAGCTTGGTTGTGAGATGGAAGAGTTCTGGCTGGTGTGTATACAGCGATCAGGTCAGTGAGGTAGGGTGGAGCTGGTTGTGAGATGGAAGAGTTCTGGCTGGTGTGTATACAGCGATCAGGTCAGTGAGGTAGGGTGGAGCTTGGTTGTGAGATGGAAGAGTTCTGGCTGGTGTGTATACAGCGATCAGGTCAGTGAGGTAGGGTGGG